CAAACTAAATAGTAGATGCTATCATAAAAATACAACTAAATGAATGTTGAGAAAATGATTTTGATAAAATGGTTAAAATAACGGTATTTTTATTAGAATTTGTAACCATCTCTTCCTAAGAAAATTGAAAAAAATGGATTATTAGATTTTATTAACAAAGGTAATTAAATAGATAAATAATGATTTTAGACAAAAATACAATCTAAAATATTTGTTTATTGCCTAATGAATTGTGATCAATAGTAGAGTAGTAAGACCGTGAAAAAATACGTAATTTCTTTTTCTTTTGAGTATTCTGAGTATTAACGATGTGTAATTCATTTTTACAATCAATTTAAACATTGATTTCTTAGTTAAAAATTTGAAAAAAAAAATATAACTTCCACTAGGTAGTTGAATGACATACAATCAGTTAGTAACACAATTTTTTTAGAGTTAGATTATTCTCAGAAAGATAGTTGGATTTGAAATAGCCTATACAAATTGAAGTTATTAGCTAGGCCTTGACAGATCAATGAATCAAAGGTGGACGACATATACTTATAAAAAACGAGAATCATTTGGATCATTTCTCATCATCAGAAAATTGGAAATATCTTCATCCCCTGGAGATGGAGGTGGCTGGCAAGGGTTCAAGGATCGAATGCCCAAACATGCATTCCTTACTTGGATCACTGATAAAAACTGGTTGCCAACTAAAGACAAGTTACGATCTTGCGGACTACATGTGCTTTCAAAGTGTCTCTTCTGCAAGATAGGTTTTAGTCCCGACAAAAAGTTTTATTTGATTGTTCTTACTACTTTGAGGTATGTTCTTTCTTCTCCTCCAAAGCGCAAATTTCTCTTTTAGTCTTGGATGAGAGACTTTGGTAGAGATTAGAATCAGGGCCGTGCCTATGAAGGTAAAATAGAGGCGCTCACCTATGGCCCTCTTTTTTTGTTATAATTAAATGTGGCCTTAATTTTTGTTTTAATAGCACATATTAGGTCCAAATATTAACTAGAACCAACCACGAGGT